ATAGGCTGAAGTGGGGCCTGATGCGGAGGAAGGCCTCACACACGATGATAAACACCGAGATGTTGAGGATGAAATTGGAGGCCAGATCATGAAAATCCAGCCCATAGTAAAACATGAGCCCGCGGACAAACAGGTGGAGGGGAAATCCCAGTCCGCAGACGAAGTGGGTAAGAAAAACTACCCTCTCATGGGGTTCGGGCGTAGGGATGATCTGCCCTGCATATGGCAGCCGGTGCGCGATATCCACGGCCAGATATCCGGCTTCCCATAACTTTGTGATGTGCTCCTCCGTGACGGAGGAGACTATCCACATGCCTCCTGCTCCGGACATGCTTGGAGTGGTTTGAGAAGAAAGACGCGAACTTGGGCGCTGGAGCTCGAGTGCGTGAGAATGGATAAGCAAGGAGGTAGAAGGCGTGTGAAAAAGGGGTGAATCCTTGTCCCTTTATAAGGATGTAAGAGACGATGCGCCTCCCCACTTGCCTGGTAAAATCGCTTATTCCCCAAGAACCATAATTGATGGCATAGTTGGGTTACCCACGTCCATATTGATGAGAATCCCGTAATAAGGGGGACACGATCTCTGCTTTGACAAGACGTGTCAAGAAAACCGCTTCGCGATATGTGTGGTGCTGGTTGAGAAAAACGGTTCGAATAATGACCGAACCCTGACATGATGTCATGCTGTCAAACATGTCAGCAGATTGGATTTGTGGAAATATTATTCTCTCTACGATGGTATGTGGAACTTGTTTTGCAGAGCCGGACATTATCCTTGTGTTCAAAATCTTGTATGGAGTATTCTGAAGAAGAACCCGCCTTGCAATGCCGAAGACAAAACTGCGCGCTGGACTCATCATCATTGAAGCCTGGTTCAGGGGCTACTGAGGGAGTCCTGGATTAGGGGGTCTCCGGACAGCCGGACTATATCCTTTGGCTGGACTGTTGGACTATGAAGATACAAGATTGAAGACTTCGTCCCGTGTCTGGATGGGACTCTCCTTGGCGTGGAAGGCAAGCTTGGCGATACAGATGTGTAGATCTCCTTCCTTGTAACCGACTTTGTGTAACGCTAGCCCCCTCCGGTGTCTATAGAAACCGGAGGGTTTAGTCCGTAGGACAACATATAATCATACCATAGGCTAGCTTCTAGGGTTTAACCTCTATGATCTCGTGGTAGATCAACTCTTATAATACTCATATCATCAAGATCAATCAAGCAGGACGTAGGGTTTTACCTCCATCAAGAGGGCCCGAACCTGGGTAAACATCGTGTCCCCTGCCTCCTGTTACCATCCGCCTTAGACGGACAGTTCGGGAGCCCCTACCCGAGATCCGCCGGTTTTGACAACAACAATTACCTTTTGAGTTAATTCATAGTAATGTCTGGACCTCTCCTGTTGCTAGTAACACTGGTTTTTCATATTATCTCGTTATCTTGGATGACTATTCTCACTTTGTGTGGACCTTTCCATTTCGTAAGAAGTTCGAGGTTTCTGCCACTCTTACGCCTTCTACTCTTACGTGTCTACACAATTCGGTCGTCCCATTCTAGCTTTGCAAACTGACAACGGGAAAGAATTCGATACCACCACCATCCGCAATCTTCTCTCCACACATGGCACTGTTTTCCGCCTTACATGTCCATACACTTCACAGCAGAACGGTCGGGTGGAACGCATTCTTCGCACTCTTAACGATTGCGTCCGTACCCTCCTCTTCCACGCATACATGCCACCTCGCTTCTGGCCCGACGCTCTCGCTACTGCCACCCTCCTCATTAACCTCCGTCCCTGTCGCACCCGGTGGAACTTTACACCTCACCACCTCCTCTTTGGGCCTCCTCCTTCATACGACGGTCTTCGTATTTTTGGTTGTCTTTGTTATCCTAGTATTGCCGCCACCTCTCCGCATAAATTCGCTCCTCGTTCCCTTCCGTCTGTCTTCCTCGGTTACTCGGCTAACATCAAGGGCTATAGATGCTATGATCCGGTTTCCCACCGTGTCATCACATCCCGGCATGTTTATTTCGACGAGTTGTGTTTTCCTTTTAAACAGGAATAGCAAAAGGCTTCTACATCCGCGCTTGGCCCCTCTCTGGCCGACCCTGTCTTCCCTGGCTTCGCCCAACGACGTAGGGCGCCCCTGGACGCGCGGCCCTTCGGCTCCTGCCTGCTGCTTCGCCAGGCTCACCGGCCTCCGAGCCGACCTCCGAGCCGGCCACCGCGCCGGCCTATGAGCCGGCCACTGCACCGGCCTCTCCGGCTGCTTAATCGCCGGGTCATGCGCTGGCCTCTGAGCCGGCCTCCCCGGCCCCTTCTTCGCCGGTTTCTGCCGGCCTCGCCGACTGCTACGCCGGCTTTCTCGACAGGATCGCCAGCTTCTGCCCCGGGCGTGTCGACGGCCTCTTCGCAGCTGGGCATGTCGCTGGCTTCTTCGCCGCCGGGCTTGGCGCCGGCACCGGTGGCTGCTGTGGTGCCACCGCCCGCTGGCCCTATCACTCGCTCGTGCCTGGGTGTCCATCGGTCGAGCACTCGCTACCCTCCGGATGAGTACACCTGCATGGCTTCGACGTCTCCCTCGTCACCGTCACCCCTGCCAACCTCCGCCCGTTCCGCGCTTCGCGACCCCATGTGGTTCGTCGCGATGAAGGAGGAATTTGACGCATTGCAGCGCAATCACACTTGGCAGCTTGTTCCCCGTCCGCCTCAGGCTAACATCATTACCGGGAAGTGGGTGTTCAAGCCAAGTTTCATCCGGATGGTAGTCTTGACCGACACAAGGCTCGTTGGGTCGTTCGGGGCTTTTGTCAACGAGCAGGTGTTGACTTCACCGACACTTTCGCCCCGGTTGTCAAACCCGAGACGATTCGGACTGTTCTTCAGCTAGCGGTCTCTCGCTCCTGGCCTGTGCACCAGATGGATGTTTCGAATGCTTTTCTTCATGGTCATCTTGAGGAACAGGTGTTCTGTCAGCAGCCGACTGGGTTCGTTGATGAGTCTTCTCCGGATCATGTGTGCTTGCTCTCTCGGTCTTTGTACGGGCTCAAGCAAGCTCCTCGCGCGTGGTACCAGCGCATCGCAGCATTTCTTACTCAACTTGGCTTCCACTCCACTCGCTCCGATGCTTCACTGTTTGTCTACCACCAGGGTGATGCTACTGCTTTTCTGCTGCTCTATGTCGATGACATCATCTTGATAGCATGCTCGACTGCCCTTCTTCGACAGCTCACTGATCGTCTTCGTGCTGAGTTTGCCATTAAGGACTTAGATCCTCTACACTATTTTCTCGGGATCGAGGTTATTCGTCGAGTAGATGGTTTTTTTCTTCATCAGCGGAAGTATGCTCATGAGCTTCTGGACCGTGTCGGGATGCTTAACTGCAAACCAGCTGCCACACCTGTCGATACGAAGGCCAAGCTCCCTGCCACATTGTTCTCCTGCTTTAGATGCTCCGTTCTACAGGTTGATTGTTGGTGCTCTTCAGTATCTCACTCTTACTCGTCCGGAGCTCCAGTACGTTGTGCAGCAGGTGTGCCTCCATATGCATGCTCCTTGTGATGCTCACTGGACCACGGTCAAGCGCATTCTGCGTTATATCTGTGGCACCTTGGATCTTGGGTTGTCACTTCAGGCTTCGTCCTCTCTCGACCTGATGGCTTATTCTAACGCCGATTGGGCCGGCTGTCCTGACACGCGCCGCTCGACTTCTGGTTGTTGCGTCTACCTTGAACCATCACTCATCTCCTGATCGTCCAAGCGGCAGCTTGTTGTCAACCGCTCCAGTGCTGAAACGAAGTACTGCGCCGTTGCCAACGTTGTCGCCGAGTGTTCCTGGCTTCATCAGCTTTTGCATGAGCTCTTGTCTCCGGTTGACAAGGCCACGATTGTCTACTGTGACAACGTTTCTGCGGTCTACCTCTCCGCCAACCCGGTTCATCATCGACGCACCAAGCACATTGAGATTGATATCCACTTTGTTCGGGAACAGGTAGCTCTTGGTCATGTACGCGTATTACATGTCCCTACGTCCCAACAGTTTGCTGACATCATGACCAAGGGCTTGTCTACCGCGTCCTTCGAGGAGTTCCGATCCAGTCTTTGCGTCGACCATGGTGCCGCTTCGACTGTGGGGGGTGTTGAGATGTAGATAATATATGTGTATTTCTTATACAACAAGCCCTCTTTCTTTCATGTATAGTTGAGGACGTGGCTGCTTCTTGTACTTATATATACGTGCATATTGTACCCGATCAATATATCGTGAGTTGCATAATTCTCTACAGATACTACTGTTGGTAGAAAACCCCGACGAGGACGAAGGGGCGGCCCGCCGTCTCCGGCCAGATGCCGAGGCGCCGGAGGAAGAGCGGGTCGGTGAGGAGCTGACGCCACTGCTTGCACGTCGCTGCACAGCGGAGGAGGTCCTGGAAATCCGGCAGACGCTTGAAAACGTCGCGGAGGATGTCGTCCGTGAGTCCATCGCCGGCAGCGGCGCGTGCCTTTGGGCTAAATCTGATCGGGTATAGGGCACGCAGCAGATCGATTATTACAAGTCACACGACCCCCGCCCCTTGCAATTCTGGATCCCTGATGGGCTGGGCCAAATATGTTATGCAAATAAAGATGTAATAAAAAGATATGCATTCCCTTCATTCGGATTATTCATTTCTTCGATAAGTATTTTCGGACGGACATAACGTGCGACGGTGTGAGCATCCACCCTGCGTGCGCTACGAAAGTGATCTGTGTCGACGAAAGGGAAAGCACCGGCACATATGCATGGAGACAAGGAAGAGGTGAAGAATAAACACATGGCGTTGCTTCTCTTTTGCGTGGCAGAGGAGCAGATCCTTCGCTGCGGCGCCACTCAAAGCGACCCATCAGCTCGCCCTACACCTACATATAGCGAAACACACATGATTCTCCATCGTAATATAATATTTATCCTTCACAGATCACGGGGAAACGAAGCACGCACGCCAAACTAAAGCTGTGGCCATGGCGGACGCGCTGATCGGGCCGCTGGTGGGGAGGCTCCAGGAGCTGGCGCTGAGCCAGGCGCGGGCGCTGGTGGCGGTGAACAAGGACATCCGGAGGCTCCGCGACAAGCTCATGTTCCTGCAGGCCTTCCTCCGGGAGGCTGACGCCAAGCGCCACCTCTTCTCCGACGAGATCACCAGGGTGTGGCTGCAGCAGACGCGCGACGCCGTCTTCGACGCCGAGGACGCGGTCGACCACTACTACCTCCAGGTCGACATGTCAAGGTAAATTCTTCCTCCGTTATGAATATAAAGAGTGTGTCGGTTATACTGCATGTACTTATAGTGATTTTCACTGTCCGTACACACTCTGCTTTCAAAAATGCTACACCTATATAACCTGCTACGTAATGTTACATTTCTTTCCTTCCTACACTTCTTTCCTTCCTACACAAATTATCCCCCTAAATTTCACGAGGTGGGTCTGAGCCCTTTTTTCTTCCAACTAAAACAAGCCAGATTAGCGCCTACGTACTTAAGTTTCGTAAGGATATTTACGTAGATATAGTGAAGGCCTCCTCCGCTCTTCATGTGGTCTGAATTTTCCTTTCCTTTAAAAAAATAAGAAATACCCCCAAGCTCTGCATCATTTAATGCACACGTCCAATTTTTTTAGTAAATACTGAGTAGTAGCAAGTTTCAACAAAAAAAAAACTACAAAAGTCCAAAAGACACAACTGGACAAAATAACCATCTAAACCGGTTATATGTATCCCGTGCTACCGTCTCCTCTCTCAGTGGTTGCACCCACAAGCCCTCAGGTCTGCATATCAAAGTAATGACCATGTACGGATCCATCCAGACGCTTTGTAAACAACCTGCAATTTTTTTGTAAGTTAAATATTGGACTCTATCCCACCTAGCCAGTTACCAAAATAAATTTGATATGCTAGCCAGCGGAGAAACATTAAAAGACACATGAACAGTACACCAGGCAAGTTTGGCGAGCGGGCATGCTAGAAATAGATGATGAATTGTTTCCTCTTGGTTACGAAAACAACATTGTTTACTACCTTGCCATCTACGCTTAGCCAAATTGTCCTTGATGAGAATCACATCCTTATGCACAAACCACATGAAATTTTTTATCTTTAAAGGGACTTTGATTTTCCCTATATAAACGCAGGGATCGGACAACAGGTCCAGTGTTAATCAATTCCGTGTACATTAATTTAATAGAGAACACACCCCGAGGAAGTTAATCTCCATCAGAAATAACCAGGCTTGTTAGATAAGGTGACCTCCATCAACCTTCGAACTAAACTAAGCCACGCAACTCATCTGTCCCCAACCAGAGAGCTCGTCTGAACTAGGTGTTCAAGGGAACCGAGCCCAATATTGTGCTCACATAAGAGTTCTTAGGTTGTACAATATTACAAAGCATTGAACATTGTATAGCTAGAGGTGTATCCCAAACCAAGTATCCTCACAAAATCTAGTGGTGCGTCCATCTCCAATAATAAACTTTACTATATTAGAGAAAGTAGCCTTAGTCTTCATTAAGCCCTTCCAAAAGGGCGAAAGTTTCATCTGAGCTGAAACTTGAGGCAAAGTCTTGGAGTGTAGGTATTAGTTACGCAATAACTGTATCCACACTTCATCTTCCTTAAAGGATAAATGGTATACTCATTTACTAAGTAGACATTTGTTTTTCATTTCCATATTCCCTATGCACAAACCTCCTTGGTCTTTCGTAAACAAAATATCCCACCCTGCTAACCTATACTTTGTCTCATGCTCATCACTCTGCCAAAAAAATAAACCATGATCTATAAAAATCCAATCTTTTCCGGACTTCTACGGGTACTTCAAAGAAAGAAAGCATGAACACAGGCAGACTCGTAAGCAACCGAGTGCAAGGACCAGCCTACCTCCATAGGACATAAGTTTGCCTTTTCAACAACTCAGCTTCATTTCAAACCTATCGTCAATGCATTTCCACTCTTTATTCGTTAATTTGTGGTGATGGATCAGTATCCCCAGATAACTAAACGGGAGAGACCCAATCTCACACCCGTACAACTATCTATAATTATTCTTTTCCTCTTTGGCGTGTCCAAAGTAGAATAAATCACTTTTGTGGAAATTAGTTTTGAGTCCTGATAGTTTCTCAAATAGACACAAGACCATCTTCATATTTATCACCTTGTCCATATGATGTTCCATAAAAATAATAGTATCCCTAGCATAGTGTAGGATCGAGACTCCCTAATCCACAAGATGTGGGATTCACCCTCCTACATGTTCATTCTCTTTTGCTCTACCAATTAGAATCGCTAGCATATTAGCCAATAAGAGGAACCGGGGGTAACGAATCTCCCTGATGCAGTCCCTTCTGGAAGAAGTGAGCCATGTCATCATTAATCTTAACTCCAACGCTACCTCCTTGTATGAAGGAGTGAGCACTTAACCTTATCATAGGCCTTCTTAAAATCCACTTTGAAAATAACTCTGTCAAGTTTCTTCGAGTGAATTTCATGTTAAGTTTCATGTAAAACCACAACACCCTCTAGTGTGTGGCGTCCATGCATGAAAGCAATTTGATTCGGCTGAACCACAGTATGCGCAACCGTCGTTAGGCGATTCATACTGACTTTGGTAAAAATCTAAATATAACACTAGGAATACAAATGGGTCTGAATTGGACATGGAGTATCTAATCTCAAGCACAAATGCACCCCTATATATGAACAATAAATTCTCAAGAAAAAAGTAGTAAAAATCAAAACAAAATCTGAAGTTTTTAGTGTATTAACATCAACAAAAGTTCTAACATCCTGCAGAAATTTCACTTTGGAAAGACATCTTTTTTTGCGAATCACTTTGAAAAGACATCTGTGGGTCCTATACAAATATTCAAAATTTTGGACTAAAAAAAGACTCATTTTCGAGCACCCATTTTTTGTTTTTTTGGCATACACCTCTACGGATGTTTTTATTCAGGGCAGAATTTTGTAGGATGTTATAAAACTTGTTGATGTCTGTCCAAAAAATAGATTTGTTTTCACTATTTTTTCAAATTTACTATTCATGCGGGTGCATTTGTTCTTGATATTAGAGTAACACTTTTGGTCTGAATTGCACAATTCTAACGACCTCTTCTTTCTTAGGCAACATAGTAGTTATCCCATTAAGCTTGAACAACTGGAGCTCACCATTAAATAAGTCATGAAACATAGGCATCAAGTTCCTTGATAGTGGCCCAACCCCGCCGATAGAATTCCACAGGGAATCCACCAGCCCAGGTGCCTTATTATTCTTCATCTGCAAAATGGCCTCGTGTACCTCCTTTTCGATAAAAGGGACACTCAACACCTAATTCTCTTCCAAGCTTAACTACAGTATATCCTCCACTGATTTCTCATACAAAGAAGCAAAATTATCCACCGGAGCACCAAAAAGTTTCATATAATAATTGGAGATGTACAATTTAAGGTTCTCTTGACCTACAATTGTACCTTTATCTTGTTCAAGTTGGAAAATCCTCCTTTTCCTATATTTTTATTCGCAATAAGATGGAAAAAATGAGTGTTCTTGTCACCTCCTGTAACTCATTTAAGCTTTCCTTGTAGTGCCCATTTAATATCTTCCTCTCTAACAAGCTTAGCTACACTCTCTTCAGCTTCTCAGTTGGCCACGTTGTTGGCCATATGGAGAGGATTTGTCTTAGCTTTAATATCAAGTTCATCGATCAGGAGGAGAATTCTTTCTTTTTCCATCTTATAAATACCACTTGCACTCTTAGCCCAACCCCGCAAAAATTGTCTAAGATGCCTAATTTTAAATTTCCATCTTTCCACATTAGTCTCCCCTCTAGTTTCTTTGCCCCGTTCCCTGGCCACCATTTCCAGGAAATCCTCCCTTTCAACCATGATAACCCATTCCCTGGCAAATTTGCAAGGAAGTTGGGTTTGTGCTCAAGTTGTGCTACCCCATAAACCACAACCAACGCCAATTGAAAACCATCAATTTTCAAACGCACATTTTACTTGCTTGCAAACTCGCCCACCACCATCTTTTGAACATCAAGAAAACCCTTATGGACCCCAAGTAAGATCCCGACAGATCTTCCTCGACAGTGGTGGAGGACAAAATTTTTTTGAGGTGGGGCAAACTATAAAGCAAAATATTTTTTATGCAAAACCAAGGTAGACATCAATACTGCACACCAATATTTTTTATATGATCTCAATAAGGAAGCTTTAATGCCTATGCTGGCTGCCGCTAGGGTTCGTGTCGAGCAAGAGTCAGGAGACTGGCATGGCATTGTTGTTTCCTTGATGAACGATTGGATCGAGCGGGGGCATAAGGTTTCTTTTTCTTTTTGAGAAATCTGCGGGGGCATAAGGTTGTGCGTGACCCAGTCCATGACGTGACCTGCTAGTTTTTTGGGGGAAATAACGTGACCTGTTGGTTGCTATGGCCCAATAAGATTTATAGGATTCATGCCTTCATGGTCCAATAAAGTGTTTCACTGTGATTTTTAGCGATCGACAGATCATATACGTACACCTAGATAAAAATTACGAGAAATCAAGGTAGGGCGAGCGCCTCACCTCTCCCTGCCGCATCCTCCGTCTGTGTTCCTCGACGAAGGAGGCGGTACCAAATATAATCTAGGCCTCCCAAAATAGTACTCGAGAACCAAGAAGTAAAGTTAGATCTACCGATCTCTAACAGAGCCATAAAATCCAACTTTTACTCTCTAGAAGTATCAGCTATTAGCCTACGTTTAGCCAAGTTGAGAAGATATCTGATATTCCAAAAGATTCCTCTCATTTTCATCATGGGGTTTCTTTTTGAACTTAATCATGTTACTACGCCGTACCACGGAAAGATCATAAACCTTGAATGTTTGCGCATGCATAGGTGTTGACTAAGATGCACGAAACGGAAGTCTGCATGACCGTCATTATCACTAGTGTCCCCATGAGTGTGGGAAAGATCCACATGATCTTAAAAACTGCTGAAGACTCTTAGGTACAAGATCCTCACATAAATACTCAATAGCTTGAATACCTAGCTCACTAACTTCACTCTCCTGCAAGAGCTTCGTTGTCGCTATATTTTTTAGCATGAGCATAACTTGACCAGCCTCGGAATCTAATAACTCATTAATATACATCACATCCTCTTGACCGTTAGACCCAAGAGAAACCCCAATAGACACTCCATTATGAAAAAGCTCCTCCTCTGAAAACTTTAAAACAGAAAACTTTGTATGGACCGGTATACCTATGGTGGTTTCAATGTCATGAAGTTTGGTCGCCTGCATGGCCCATGCCATTTGTAGCGCGTCAGCATCAGGTTGTGCTTGAATCCATTGACTCACACGCCTTTCTACTGAACGTGGATCCGGGATCCTGCCAAAAGCCACCACATCTGCCTCCTACACGGTGACTGGAGAAGCACCAATCTATGACAAGACTAGTGATACCACTAGTTCTGACGCACACACAACACCCTCTGTAACTGCTGGTGCACCAATAAGTCGACGCGCCCTTTAGTCATCACTGTTTTGGTTGTCATCTTCACAGGAGTAGCAGCCAAACCAGCTATCGGCCTAGCAGCATTACCCATCAGTATAGGGGCTGGCCAAGTAGCACGTGTCGGTGAAGCAACCACAACAATTGGCATAGCATAGGCCGGTATAGCAAGAGACAGTCTAGGAGTCTAACCCGGGGATGATGAGAGGGAGGCCTCGGGCCTCGGCTCTTGCTACTCTCCTAGGAGTTGTTATTTCCCCGGAGAGGAGGGTGATGTAGCACAACAATAGAAAGTATTTCCCTCAGTTAAGAGCCAAGGTTTATCGAACTAGTAGGAGTCACTAATCTAACAAGTTTAGCAGTACCTATGCACAAACAAATAAATTACTTGCACCCAACAATGGCAAGGGGGTTATCAATCCCCTAGTTCTTGCTAGCCACAAAATTAAAAGCAAATAGTGACAGGGCAAAGTGGCAAGAAAGTAAAAAAGCAATTGTAGGAGTTTTTCTACTGCTAGAAAATAGACCCCGGGGGGCATATGTTCACTAGAGGCATCTCTCTCGGAAGGATGTTGGGTAATTGACAGAATAGCCCAAATTACTGATCGGCAATTGACGAAATAGCGCAAATTATAACTATGATCATTCATGACATAATCTCACATAGGCATTACATCCGTGATAAGTAGGACATTAATCCAACTGCATCTACTACTATTATTCCACCCCAAGATCGCTATCTAGCATGCATCTCAAAGTATTAAGTTGACAAAAAACAGAGTAACGCGATAAGCAAGATGACATTATGTAGACAGAAGAAAACCTAGCAATAACATTGACCTCATTGTTTTATCCTTAGTGGCAACAATACAAAGATGTGTCTTGTCCCTTTCTGTCACTCGGATATACAAATCGCCGCCAGATTGAACCCACTACAAAGCACCTCTCCCATTAAAGATAAATCAATCAAACTTGGCCAAAGTAGATAGATAGATCGGAGAGAAATATAATGCTATAAAATTAAGCAACAAAGAAACTTCAAAAGGTTCATATAAATTCAATGAACACTCTAATCATAAATCCACATTTCATCGGATCCCAACAAACACACCAGAAGAATTACATTGGGTGGATCTCTGACGAGATCATTGTGTTGAAGATCGCGTGCGCGCGCGCGCGAGAGAGAGAGAGAGAGAGAGAGGAGAGAGAGAGAGAAGAAGAAGAAGAAGAAGAGAGAGAGAGAGAGAGAGCTACTACTATGGACTCATAGGTCCTTAAACAACTACTCACACATCATCATGGAGGTAGTAAGGTCGATAAAGATGGCCTCCCGAATGATTCCCCCTCTGGCCGAGTGCCACAGTAGGACTCTAGATGGGATCATGATAGAACAGAGGCTTGCGGTGGCAATAAAAAAATTCAGGTCTCGCTCCGAGGGTTTTGGAATATATGTGAATTTGTAGGCCAAAGGTTAGGGCAAATGGAGCATCAAGGGGCCCACAAGCCACCCCAGTGCACCCTACCCACTAGGACGTGCACCCTGGCTTGTGGCCCCTCATGGGTCTTCTGTTCTCTCCCCGAAGCTTCTAGGTCTCTTGTGTTCCAGAAAAAATTGTCAAAGAGTTTCGTCGTGTTTGGACCTTCGTAGGTATCAATTTTATATAAAACCAAAAATAAGCAGAAAACAACAACTGGCTCTAGGCACTGGATTAATGTTAGTTCAGAAAAATAATGTAAAATGATGGCCAAAGCATGTAAAAATGATAATATAATAGCATTTAACAATAAAAAAGATAGATTTATTGGAGACGTATCAGCTCCAACCCCACCAGCAGGCGAGGTCGACCAACTACGTTCAACGCATGGACCTTAGGAACGCGTCCCAGACGCGCCACCGGAGAGGTTGCCTGTCTCGATCTGGAGTCCCCCAATCACGCCACCAAAGTAATTGGTGAATCGGGAGGGGAAAGTGGTGGAGCCTCTTGCTCAGCTAGATCCCTCACATGTCCACAGAGGATCCATGCATGGATCTATGAATTGTCCTCCTAGGAGAACGGAACTCCATACATGAATTTATGTCAATTTCTGTGAGATAGATAGAGGAGAAAGAAAAAACTTGAGACCATACACATTGGATTTGCATCGCAGCAAAAACTCCATAGTCCAACCACAAACCCGAAGACCATGGACAATAATCTTTTTGTGGAGATACATGTGAGATCACAACAGTCACAAAACTACAAAATAAAACCTTCAAGAAAGCATCATTACTCACACGTCAACATTGGATGCTCCAACCAAAGGCAAACCTTAGGAAATCATGTCAAATTAGAACTTCGAGACAAAAAAAGCTAGACTTACGCATAGTATTTACAGAAGTAACAGCACTCTCCCTCCACTAATCTCTTCCTCCCTGAATTCAGGGTGGGCCGGCTTCCCTCCTAATTCCCGATCAAAACAACTCATGTCAGCCCGTCTATAATCATCCGTAAAATCCATCATTCAAGACTACACCTTGAACAAGGAAACAAATGCATACATCGAGCTTCCCCATCTTTCCAAAAGGCTAAATCATGGATTTCCAATGGAAGACAATACAATCTAGATGTCAATGACCAAGTACCATCCCATCTATGCGAATCTGCTCACATTGAAGTTGCCGACCGAAGAAAAGTTTGTTAGAAGTGAATACACCATCCCATCTTTTCTGGTTGTTGCCACACAACCGTCTGGTCGAGGATAGTCATGTGTGAAACAGAAGGACCTAGTAGCCTATACCACCAAATATGCTCAGATGCCATGAATTTCTTGGCTCCAGATCTGGCCAACAGTCATAGGCGATTCCCACCAAACTGCACATCTGCAGCTCCACATGTAGTCTGACACCATGGCTGCACCATCACACCACTGGTCGCCCAGAGATTAGCTCACGCGCGTGATGATCAGCACCACGCGGCGCATGCCCACGCCTGCCAACATCGCGCCTAGCTTGACGCCTCCATGCCTATTAGATGCCACGCCTGATTTCTTGCCTCCACACAGCCAAAGCAACCATGTGCTACTCTTCCCCTTGAAAGGAAAGTTATCTCTCTACTACCATACATGTGCACCTTCTATCCTCAACATCCGTTTTTGCATCAAAGTTTATGCGTACAAGTTTCTATTTTTTGTTTCTCCCAAATGAAAAACCATTTGGATACAAAACTTTGCATATCAATATCACACAAGCACTACAATGTGCCATTTTTTCCAGGTTTTTTGGCTCTACAAAGTATTTTAAATGATGCAATTTATTCAAAATTTGTAATTTGACAAATTTATGTTTCATCAAGAACATTATATGCACAGAGTGGCACTTGTGTATCTTCAACCTACAAGTTTCAAGCTCAAATGTTCTTTTTCTTGGAAGAAACAAAAAAGAGAATTTCTTTATAAAGATAACACAGATCTTGATGGAAACTAGATGGCCTAGATAGAAGGTGTAGATGCATAGTACGATAGAAAATCTACACTCGGAGGGGCACCTATATATAGTACTATTGTTCAATGTATACTATGAAAAGGAATGCACGAGAGGGGTCGATGCCATTGGAGAATTAGAGTGTACTTGTGGGTAAGAAGAGTACACTATACACAACTATCAAATTAGATAGCATATTGGCAAACCTTGATCACATTGAACAAGGAACATGTGATGGTGATCTAGTGCATGCTGCACAAGGTGCCCTTTTCCTTGGCAGACTTTCCTCAATAATGTGTATTGTACTATTGTACTGCACATTAGTAGGGAAGGTACACATCGGTGTGTATGCTACGTGTCGCCCATCTACGCCACCTCTGGAGACCACAGAGCATCAAGAAAATGGGAGAGATGGCTAAGGGAGGGAGAGTGGCCGAAAGAGAAATGAAAGCGTGGTGGTGGTGCGGGCCCATTATACTATGGATTGTCATATGCATCTTATTTTCTAGGGTTGAATAGCACACCGCTCATTTCCATTATTGCATAACAGGAGAACACTTGCCCGAATCATGACCGGTGGCTATGGAGTGCTGATATAGACGCATGATGCTTTAGATTTCCGCTTTTAGTTTACTTTCACCATGTAGATTTTTACCATGTTAGGATTACAATTAATATTTGTGTAGTGCTTATAGGCTCTACAAGTTGTAAACGTAAATTAATTGTCTAATTTTCACATATAATCTAATATTTTTGGTTGCAAATTTTTGTGTAAAGGTATCCATGGTGGGCTCGTCCAAGTATGAGATATGTTGCAACCTTTACAACACAAGTAAGCATGCGACACAAGCTATCTGCAAAAGTAAAGGATATCAACTCGAGGCTCGAGGACATCATTGAAAACAAAGACAGATACAAAATGGAGCTCAATAACACGAAGTCGGAATTAACATGGAAAGCTTCTACATCAATATCCTATGCCCATAGAAATATGTAAGTGCAATTGAACCTTCATTTAATTATAATTTCTATGATTAGTTTGCTGGTGGTTAGTGTGGTGATTATAACCTCTTCCCGTTAGGTTTGAAAATTCAGGCTTGATTATCATTTATCATATACTACCTCCGTACCAAAATAGAAGACGTTTATGTAGGCTAGTTTAGCCTGCAAAAACGTCTTATATTTTATACAGAGGTCATATATCTCATCATTATGGAATTATCTCAATGGTTGTGTGTGTGTATGTTAAATTAGATGCTTAAAACTAAACCCTCCATTTTGTAATGTAGTGTTTATCAGTTTTCTCAAAATTTAAGCTTCTCGACAATGTCTATAGAGAAAGTAACTATATATGCAATACTAAATGTATACCCTATGAAAATATATGTCATAATGAATCTAATTGTATTGGTTTGCTAATAGACGGTGATAAATTTCTATAAACTTGGTAACAGTTTACAAATTTTGACTTTAGAATTGGAGGGAGTATATGTTTGAGTATGTAGCATATTTATCTACCTATATGTCTATCTTTCTATATTATATAAGTATGAGATATTATGACAAAATTATGACACTAATAAGTGAAGACAAAAAGGCAAAACATTAATTTAGTAGGACCGAGTTATGATATCTTATATTGATCTACAATATCAATTAAGCAGAGTTTAGTCATGTTAGCCATGATAAGTAGATTTGGTTCCATGCTTGTAGCTTGTTCAAAGAAAGAGCACAAGTACTTAAATCTACACTTATCAAAGAACATATGGAGGAATCAAGTAAATGACATTGGATTATGATGGCTTTAAACGATAAAAAGGAGAACTAAACGATTACGAATAAATAAAATTTGATTCCATGTTTAAATTTTTATGTAGAAAAGTCCAGTTATGTTTTGATGCAAGTGTAACAAGATCATGAAATATATATATATATATATATATATATATATATATATATATATATATATATATAACAACCATAAATTTAAACTCAAACACGCATAAAAATACGTGGCTTGCAATATAACTTATTCTACACCCATGTGCGACTATTTCCTTTATATGGAGTATGGACTCCGAAAGATCGTGGATGTCGCCTAGAGGGGGGTGAATAGGCGTTTTAAAATAATTATGATTTAGGCTAGAACAAATGCGGAATAAACCTAGCGGTTAATTTGTCAAGCACAAAACCTAAAACAACTAGGCTCACCTATGTGCACCAACAACTTATGCTAAGCAAGATAAGCAACTATGTGATAGCAAGATATATGACAAGAAACAATATGGCTATCACAAAGTAAAGTGCATAAGTAAAGAGCTCGGGTAAGAGATAACCAAGGTACGCGGAGACGATGATGTATCCCGAAGTTCACACCCTTGCGGATGCTAATCTCCGTTTGGAGCGGTGTGGAGCCACAATGCTCCCCAAGAAGCCACTAGGGCCAACGTAATCTCCTCACGCCCTCGCACAATGCAAGATGCCGTGATTCCACTAAGGGACCCTTGAGGGCGGTCACCGAACCCGTACAAATGGCAACCCTTGGGGGCGGTCACCGAACCCGTACACTTTGGCAACCCTTGGGGGCGGTCACCGGTACCCGTCAAATTGCTCGGGGCGATCTCCACAACCTAATTGGAGACCCCGACGCTTGCCTGGAGCTTTACACCACAATGATTGAGCTCCGAACAACACCAACCGTCTAGGGCGCCAAGGCACCCAAGAGGAATAAGCTCTAGGGTGCCCAAACACCCAAGAGTAATAAGCTTCTCAAACTTCACTTCCACGTATCACCGTGAGAACTCAAACCAATGCACCAAATGCAATGCCAAGGGCACACGGAGTGCCCAAGTCCTCTCTCAAATCCCACCGGAGCAACTAATGCTAGGGAGGAAAATGAGAGGAAGAACAAGAAGGAGAACACCTAGAACTCCAAGATCTAGATCCAAGGGGTTCCCCTCACATAGAGGAGAAAGTGATTGGTGGAAATGTGGATCTAGATCTCCTCTCTCTTTTCCCTCAAAAACTAGCAAGAATCCATGGAGGGATTGAGGTTAGCAAGCTCAAAGAAGGTCAACAATGGGGGCAAAAACAAGCTCAAGAGATGGGGAACCATTGGGGAAGAAGAACCTCTTAAATAGGTCCCCATGAATCTTCCCGTTATGTACAGAATAACATAGGAGCGGTACAACCTCTATGAGCATCGGTACAACCGGTAACAGGCAATAAGCGGTACAACCGGCCCACAACCGCACCACAACAGAGACCAGTCCGGTGGTAGAGTGGTACATGACCGGTACAACCTCCGGACCAATTCTGGAACGGTACAACCGCTCCAAACACCGGTTGTACCGGTCAAGCGATACAACCTCTCCATGGGCCGGTACAACCTCTCTGTGTAAAACAGGCAATATCAAAATAGCCACAACTTTTGCATACGAGCTTCGAATTCAACGAAACCAAGTTTGTTGGAAAGCTAACGACAAGGGCTAACACAATATTGAGAGAAATATCAATAAGAAGCAAATGAGAAAAGGACCATAATAAAATGGTGAGAACCCTTCCTCAGAAAAGACCGGTAAAACCTCCAACACCGAAAACATCATAGAAGATGCATGCGAACTCCGTTTTCGATGAACTCAAACTTGTCATCAAGATGACCATAAGCTCTAAGACTCACAAATGGAACCAAACAAGAACCAAGAAAGATGATGCAAGGATGCAATGGTTTGAGCTCTCGACTAATGATACGATCAAGCTACTCCCTAGAGAGCCCCCCTTGATTGTACAGCAATCAATCCTACAACCCGGTCTCCCAACTACCACTATGAGACCGGTAAAATAGAAAACCTATCAAGGGCACACCTTTGCCTTGAACATAGTCCACTTGAGCTAGATGATGACGATCTTGACTTCCTCAAGTTGGACCACCTTTCTTGATTGTGTTGGCTTGATGAAGACTAGTTGATTGCTCCCCCATACTCCAGTATCGGTGAGCCACTCTTTGGCACATCTTCACAATTCCATTGACACCACAATGGACGGCAAGCTTTAAGCTTGATTGCTCCCCCATACTCCATTATGGGTGAGCCACTCTTCGAGTTGCTCCACTTGAACTTGCACACTTCAAACTTGATGACGATCACCACTTGATGTCATCCTCCATGGGTTGTATGAGATCTTCCTCTTGACGCAAGACCATGGAAACATACCTAACTCCACAAAGAACTCTCACATAGACCATGGGTTAGTACACAAAGCGTAATGGACAATGCTTACCATACCATGGGATCACTTGATCCCTCTCGGTACTTCTTCTACGCTTTGTGAGTTGATCAACTTGATTCACTCTTGACTTAGTCTTGATCAACATTGAATCTTTCCAACTCTCTTCATTTGGATGATGTCTTGAAGGTAAACATGAATGATCACACAATCTTCTTCTTCAAGACATGCTTGCAATAAGCTCAACTCACACATGACCAATCTTTGGATAATTCCTTGAAAAGCACTTTGGCCATCTCAACTCACACATGACCAATCTTTGGATAATTCCTTGAAAAACACTTTGGCCATCTCATAAACTCCTTGAAACCAACACATGGACTTCAAGACAATCCTATGGACAAATGCTTCAAATATAACTCAAGGCAACCGTTAGTCCATAGAGATTGTCATCAATTACCAAAACCACACATGGGGGCACGGCATGTCCTTTCAATCTCCCCCATTTTGGTAATTGATGACAATCACTTTCAAGAGAGTTTATATAAGGAATTATTTATCACCATGCAATGCAACAACCAATAATGCATGTGTATGAGATGCAAATGCTTAGGTACAAAACCAAAGCAAGAAGAAAAAACTCTCTAAACTTATCCACAAAACTCTCTGAAACTTCTCCCCCATTGGCATCGATTGCCAAAATGGGCGAAAAGCTTAGAAGGCCCATATAAATTGTGTTCCTCCATAAGTTGTGTATTTCTCAACAAGAGAGTGGAATGCCATACACATATCCAAAGATAATACTTGGAGGAAGACCAACTATATTAAGGCACCAAGATTGCTAAAGGAAGATATGCCACAAAGACATAACAAAGAGAGACACAAGCAATCAGAAGATACCAATTGAAGCAAGTAATCAACGGATATCAATTGAACCAACTAGACCAAACATCCTACGTGCCACAAGAATAAAGATAATATGATATGAGCAGAGGATTGTGCTAAAGAAACTAGAGAAGCTCCCCATGATTTGTGCACATCAATAATTTTTGTATTTGGATACAAAGTGCACAAAATAGGATCATAGCTCCCCCAAAATCAATAAAAACTTACAACAAGTGTAAGTGAGCATATAGGAAACAAAACCTAGTACTTGCAACAAACACATGGTTGAGAAACAAGTAAAAGAGGCAACTTAAGAAAGGGCTCAACCAAAATGATGTGTGTGAGTCAAGGCAAAACACTTGAGAAGACTGAAGTACGGATGAGTATTAAGCATCAATAAAGTCTTGAAAGAATGAGGCACACGGTGCAAGGCCTATCATTCCCACACACAACTAGCAAATGGGTTCACAAGCTTACTAATAAGCATATAAAGAACCTATGCTTGTGACAACCCATCGTGAAGATAGAAGATGAAAGCCTCATCAACACGAGGGATACCAATTAAGATGGCAAAAGCCTCGTAAAGATAAGCATGAGGAAATAATCTTCACCACACAAGAGTGCATCAAGATGCAACGATAGAAGACACGCACTCAAGGCAAAAGTTTTCACGGAGCCACCAAGGAAATAACATAAGAAAGACAAGGTGGACGTGAAAGAAAGGATATCAACTAGATATGCAACTTATCTCAAGTGTATAAGATTCTAGGTAGACGAAATCATGATGATATATATCTACAAAGAAGGATGTACACCCGAAATAGTTACAACACGAGGAACAAGATATCCAAAGGGAGGTCATACATATACCAATAAGATATTTG